GGTCATTTTTCACCACAAGCTCTGAAACAGCAGTTTTTTTCATTTCAGTAACAACGAAGTTCAATAACAGACCCATCACATAACTTACCAAGGTCTACATATCTGCTTCTGAGAAAGAAAAGCCTGTGATCTTGTGAGTCCGAAGATCTTAGAGCTGAAGGTGGGTGAGACCTTTGACAACTTGAGGCTTGCTTCACTTTATAGTAGCTTTTTACGCGCTAAACGGGAGCCAGAGACGGCGTTTTCCGAATAATTTTAGTTTTTCTCCTGAATTTTGTCGTCGAGCGTGGTGTAAGGGTGAGGGGGGGGGTTGGATATCGACAATCAACTCATAACTTAGAACATCGGAAGCAGCAGATGCATAGTAGTTCTGAAACGCAACCAACTGAGGGAGGGGGGATATATAAGTCAACAACCCCGGGAAGAATTTTTCGTGACGCCGCAAGATTCTCTCGAAGGCAAATGCGACCTCCTCCTTCTCCCAAGAGCGAGTATGACTCCCCGCCCCTGGAATTCTCCACTTTTCCGGTCATTTTTTTCTGAAAAGTTGCCATAATACTGCCGTCGGACGAAAGGGTAAGGGTATGTAGCCGCGCGTGGAACGGAAAAAATTGAGTAAAGATAACATTCACAACCGAGAACGTAAAAAGGCGAATGCGACCCCCTTCAGCGACTAGAATATGACCCCCGCTGAGGATTCTCAAGAAAAAGCTGTTTTCACGCAAGAGTACAAAAAGCGTTTGACGTTTTGCAGCTAGGGACACATATTGCCTAGAGGTGGCTCTGGATATTTTTCTGAATATTTCTGAAAACATGAACTTTAAGAAAGTTGTAGAGAGTGACTCACTCAATGAATTCAAAATATGGCGCTAATTTTTTTCGGATAGTGGAGCTCCCACAAGGTAACGCTGTACTTGAGCAAATCGTCGTCGAATTCGAAACGTTCGCATGTTCCACGTTTGATACGAGACTGTAAGTAATTGGCAATTGATTAAAGATAAACAATAAAGAAAGATCAAAGATAATCAGTGAATCTCTCACCTTCCCAGCGGCGAGCGGATGCTTCGACGACATTCCTCTCATCGCATTTATCATTGCCGACTTCCCAACACCGTGACCACCAATAAATCCGTAATTGAAGGCTGTCTAAAAGGGTGACTTCTAGAGTTTGACGAAGAAACCAGAGGTCAGGGTTGAGTGCAGTCAGATGCCGCTGCATGTCCCATGCGATAAAATGGCGCGCCGACATCGTCGCGCGCGTCAAGTCGCTCCTGAGTGCAGTGAGATCTAAATGCGCAGAAGCCTAAGCTCAGAAAGTGAATCGCTAACAACCGCTCTGTCTAGCTTCTTGTTAGACTTTTCTCACTGCTAGTCCTGCATTCGAAAAATGGGTATGTGGCAAGACATTCGCAACGTGCCGCGCTGATGGGCGTGGCGAGGGTGTCGTGGCCCACGGACGAGCTGCCCTGCCGCCGTTTGAAGTTGTTTTGCAGGGACCGGAAGATTAGATATCTTTTCAGAGTCCTCCCTCTACTTTGTTTCACATAGGTTCCGCTGCTCCAAGGACAAATTTATACGTATCGACAAGTTGCCGCACAATACGCCGCGCGCGACAACGCGACATACCACGATTGTCTTGTCCATCTCCCTCAAAAATTACTCATTTTTTGCAACAAAAGTTATAAAAAAGATAACACACTCGGCCAGCTCGTCGAACTGTGGATTTCGGCTCAAGGTTACCGAATACTCGATCATCAGTACCGAACATTATCTCGAAGCCAGCATCGGCAAGAACTGTTGATTTTTGGATGTGACGTGGTGGAAACATCGACGAAGTGTCTCGAGTGCGTTCTGTCTAAATATTTTGTTGATATTCAATATTTAACTGGTACAATAAGTAAATGAAAAGCATCTTCTTTCTAGATGTGGTTAAACAAATTTGGTTTGCGGCGAAAAAGGGGCTGCAAACGGAGCTACGTACGTGAGATTCGCAACAGGGTCTAACTTATTGAACGCAGTAAATTTGCACGGACAGCTCAACTAGTTAGGACACACCCTGCTAGTCCTCGCGCAAGGCCGCCACTCGGATCCCCTGAACACCACAGTAATCAAGGTAGTCACCAGGTATCAATAGTCCCTCTCGTCAAATGTCAATCCTCTGAAGGAAAAGCCTAACTCAGTCCCTCGTCAACTGCTTTCTGCTATTTTTTGGACGGTTAGATCGGATATGACCAGGAAATTCGTCTTTGGACCTCACTACTTATCACTGACAAACGCAAAATGTGTCTTTAAGTCCCTGTATCCCACCGAATATATTTGCTTTTATAACTTTATTTGTGTAGCTGTAGTGAGAGAAAATGAATTACACATCGGAAATAAGTGATCGAATACGCACCATAACCGCGATATCCTCGATGCTACGGTCCAGTGCTGTGGGTCGTCGCACGTTGTCGGCGTCTCTCTGGCAATAAACACATATTTAACCAGATGTCCTTACAGGAAAAACTAATATTGTGACATTCTTGACTGCTGATCTTGCCAACAGGGGCCAGCTTCAAAAACTCAAGGATCGAGAGCGACACCAAATTTTCATTTGAAAATATTCCTTGCTACAAGGTTGAGAGCTCCCGTAAACCAGGATGCGGGCCATTATATGGTACAGTCTTGTCCGCTGCGGATGCTGGGGCGTGTCAGGGGGCTGGGTTTAGCGCGGTGCCTATGCGTTTCTCATCAGTTGTCTTTGCTTACATTACGTTATGTCTGCTGCAAGCTCCCTTAGTCAGTTTGCACGGTAGCTATTGGCCAAATAAGTCTGGTTGATAGCTACCGATAGTTCTAATTTAAACTCAAAAAAGAGTGATTGAAATATCCTCAATCCTTAGATGATGTCCATATGGTTTCAGACTGCAGGGAAACAAGGTCTTTGTGAAGAAATCACAACGTAGTTAGGAGATGGATAGAAAAGGCGTAACCGCCGCGCTTGACTCCAGGCTCGCAGGTTCTGACGCAGTCTACAATTCAAATGAGTTTCTTTTGTCTCTGAGTCAGCAACAGAGTGTTATCATCGGTACTAAAACAGTATTTTGGCAATTAATACCATGAAAGCAATATGGAAAGTTCTTACACTTTTCCGTAGTTTGTTCTCTAACGTATAGTGGCATCCTGGTCCAAGTTCGAGTAATTCTAGCAGTTTGTCCTCATCCAGTTTGTAATGAAGATAGCTGCAAATGTAGAATTGAAGCGGTCGAATTTAATGCCGATCAAGCAAACTAGTAAACGGACCCGATTGTTCCACTGAGCAAATTCTTCACAACAGGGCTACTTATAAGTAGTAACTCAACAGATGTCAGTATTTGTGCCTTCATCATTAGAGATTTCGTGAAAACGCTCCGCGCTGGAATCAAGAAAATAAAATGGAGCCAAGGACAATTAAACCGTTAAGGCATTAGGCAGATCTGGAGGCGGGCGGTCGTTGCCAGCGTCATTGGTGGAGGAGCAGCGACAGGGGATTTGGCCACACCCTTGTCAGCCTTTCCGCCAATGACGGCTAACAGGCGGCAACTCCCTCCCCCATCAGTCGTGCCTACTGCCTTCAAGTTGGATTTGACGGCGGAATATCGAAAATGACCTCTGGCATCGTATTCCCTCTTGAGAGTACTGTCTATAGAACGTCCGAATTCCCTTGCTTCGGCATCGAGGTCATCGTCTGATTTTGTGGAAAGCATTGTTAGATGTGTACGTCTGAATATGTACAAGTAATTTAGAACGAAAAAAAATTCGAAAACTCAGAAACTGTATGATATTAGTGGAAAAAAGAATCCCATGGGCACAAGCACTTAGCCTCAGTACTGCAAAATAGTTCTTTAATGGTTTTGTCTTTGAAGTCACTTGTACAGTCTTGCTCGCTGTGGATGCTGGGGCGTGTCAAGAAGGGGAACTGTGTTTGGCTCGGCACCACATGACACGCCCGAGCATCCGCAGCGATTAAAACTGTAAAAACGTCAATAGAAATATCCCAGCTGAGAGATAACTACCAAATAAGCAATTTCAATAACTTCATGATAAAACGGATATTTTTTAAGCGCTGGCGAAAACTAGAATACTGCGGAAACAGCATTTCAGCACTTGGAAACAATAAAAAATAGGTCACCTTGAATGCACAATTCTAGCAAAAGAAATGTCATCGTCGTGAGGAGCGCCATCAGCAATCAATAAGAAAATACGTCGGAATAAGCTTAATTTATGGGACCTGGAAAATCCAAGTGAATATCAGGTAAATTATGCAGCAAGTGAAGCATGATCGACATTATTCGAAAATTACTACCGAACTCAAGAAAATATTTTGCTGAAACATGACGGTTACTATTCGCCCTAATCCTGAACATGGCATCCGTTTTAGCCGCAGGCACCACCACTTAGTTCATCAAAAGCGGTACAAACTTGTATACATGGGTTATTTGGAGCTCTGATGACGAATATGGCAGTAAACCACGGCGTCAGCGCCATTTGGTGCGCTACCTCTTCACGATACTTCAGAAAAGCTTTCATAATCGGTTGTTCAAGCCCTGATGACTTAAGTACCCTTAACTTTGAAAGCCGGTACCATTGGGCGCCACCATCTTCTTGACGTGGATTTGGTGCCCCCACTTTTTCATTTGAATCGGTACAAAATTGCATGCTAGGGTTGTCTGTCATCCGGTTCACAGAAGCGAAATTCATTTCCAGCGCAAGCACTAAAGTAGGGTACTCTGGTCGTCTGCGCTCTGCCAAGCCTGAGCTCAAGGGAAGAGAGTCACCGCTCTGCCAGGCTCAGCCTCAGCGGAACGCTACATGGCTCCGTCGTTGAAAGTTGAGTGTCATATCCGTGATTAGAACCCCTGAACCTCGAAAGCGAAGCAGTAACGAATTTGGTAGAAAAAGTCGCTGCGCCAAGCGGGCCCGAGCGATCAAATAGCGCCAGCAATCAAAATCAGGTGAAGTATTCGTGATGTCAAATAACACTAGTATGCAAGTTCACATCAAAAAAAGGTTCCTGCGCCAAAGGTGCCGGCGCCCAAAATGAATATTGTATTCCTGACCAATGCGTAACCCCTATAATCATAGTTCCAACCAACCTTTCCTTTTTGGATTTTGGGGTAGTAAAGGATGGAGTGCCCCAAGTACACATCAACGGTACGTGTGGATCAATCGATAAGTTAATGACTTACTCATAGAAACGATCAAAACCCATGTTCCTATCGTATATGTCAGATACGGAAGCGAAAGCGCGTGGATACGGTATCTCCCACAGAATCATATTTTGAAATTCTTCTTCCATAAATCTGAACAGAGCATTTTGATTTCAATCAATAACTTTTGGCATGATTGATTGGTTCAGACTGTGATAGCCAGTAGTACCGGAAAGGCTCCATGTGATTGCAGGGATGACGGCCAGCAGCTTGTGGATCACTCATCGTTAGACCTCGTATGGCGTTTATTAACGTGGACTTTCCAGCTCCTTGTCGTCCAACAAAACCGATATTGATACGCGTCTAAATTTGTACATTTTCAGGTCATGGAAAGGGTAATTCAAAAGGGTTTCAGAAGTGGATTTAATTGTTACGGAAAGCACGTGGCTATGTACTGGGTGGCCAAAAATTGCCGCAAAATTGCCCCCGATTCAAGCGTAATGAGCAGCGAAGAGAAATATTGAAGGCCGACTGTACACTCACCTCCATATATCCTGATCTTTGGCGTGTGCCACTATTCCCGATCAAAAGTGCACGGTACGGGCTGTATGCTGTTGATACCAGGGTGGCGTCTCCATACTCCCTGCACTTTCGCACGGCCAGCCCCACGAATAAGCATGGCAAAAGCGGCACTTTTCTGCGCTCTCTCACTTCTGATTGTTCTCTTCGGCTGAGTACGACTTTCACTGCGAGACCTTGCCATCGACGCGAGCGCTGCACCTTCAGGATAGAGTTCGGTTGCAGTATAAAGACAGCACTCGGGTACCGCTAGATTACATGCCCATTCCCGTGCTATTTTGGGCGGCAAAAGTGGCACGCTACTGCAGCCCGCTCACATCGCTTATGGAAAGGACTGTCCCCGGAGGTAAGTTACGGATTGCCTTCCTTGCTCTTAAAAAGTTATCGTCGTTTGGGTTGAGAAGAAGCAGATCGGGGAACTACCTGTACTCTCGCCTGCTCTTTTTATATAGCGAAATTGAACTCTTTGCGCAGGGACGTATAAAAGAGGGGAGAAGGCAGCGGAAAAGCTGCCGTCGCCGGAACACCTCTTTTGTCTATCGATATTGACAACAGTCTCAAGAGTATTCGAGTTAGTGGTTTGAAGACAGCTTCTGATAATCTTTTCGTTAGCTCCTTCCTTATGCCGTCCATACCTATTTCGTCAGGCCTACCCCACAGATGAGTCCCGAGTTTGACGAAATAGTTCGTGGAAATGGTAAACGAGAAGAAATGGTTGTGTGAGGTCACGGAGGAACAACCACCACTGTTCTGTACTAGTTTCTCTGCCCATGTCTATGTATTTTTTCTAATTACTCACCGCATCAATCGGATATGCTCCTTGTTGGAAAGTCATTCCACTTTTGAATGTGTAGTCAGTAATTGGATTGTAGATAGGATATTCGTCATAGTTAGACTAAAATTGAGTCAAACTTGAGGAAAAAATAGAAAAATATCTGGTTTTGAAAGTATGAAAATACAAACGACTCCTTGGCTTCCTGTAAACAATGAAGAATCAGTTGTACCAACTTTTGTTGTGGCAGTAGTACTCGATTCGGTAAGTGGAGCATAACTGAACGGTTGAAAACGTGAGGGAAGAGAGAGAGTTGTTTGGGGGAAGGGTGACCGTGGTGGACGGTGTCGGGCCTGCGGCCGTGGTTGTGTGGTAGGTGATGAGCCGAAATTGACTCTTTGCGCTTCAGCGTATAAAGAGGGAGGGGGAGACGAAGGCGGGGGTAAACTGCGCGGTCGCCGGAACACCTCTTTTGTCTATCGATATTGACAACAGTCTCAAGAGTATCCGAGTTAGTGGTTTGAAGACAGCTTCTGACAATTTTTCGTCAGCTGCCTTGCCGTGGGGGGTATGCGCCGGTGCCAGTACCTGAGTTTCGTCAGGCCTTACCCCAGTATGGAGTTGGCCGGAGCTTGACGACAATAGTTCGTGGAGAATGGTTCAGAAGCTAAACGCAGAGAAGGATGAATGGTGTGGTGAGGTCACGGGGAGTAAAGGAACAGGACAGCCACGGTTCGGCGGACGTGAGTTTGCTCTGCCGCAGTGTCTAGGTATTGTGGGTGCTGAGCATTACTCACCGCATCAATCGGATATGCTCCTTGTTGGAAAGTCATTCCACTTTTGAATGTGTAGTCAGTAATTGGATTGTAGATAGGATATTCGTCATAGTTGACTAGAACATGGAGGTCAGGGAGGTGGAGGGAGGGAGAGAGAATAGGGAGGAGAGGAGGATAGTCGGTGGTTTTGAAAGTATGAAAAGTGACAAACACGCGTTGGCTTGGCCGGTACAATGAAGATCAGTGGGTGAGCAAGCTTGTGTTGGCGGAGGAGTGCGGAGTGCGGGTAAGTGGAGCATAACTGAACGGTTGAAAACGTGAACTGTCGCGTCGAGCGAAATAATCTTTCATTTGATGAGTTTCCTCGCTTTGTTTCGATTTCGGTCTATTGGTCGTATTCAATGCGTCAAATTGATTCATTCGATCCTGAGCATGGTACTGGTGAAATGTGAACTTGAACATACTTTAAATTCAGTGGCAACTACCTTTGCATATATAATATTCCTTTTAATTACGGGGAAGCCAGTCCGCGGTGCAGGCATGGGTGGTAGTGGAGGCGGATTTGAACCCTCGTCCGACTGCTGAACAGGGTCAGACAGAGGCGAAAAAAGATTACCCAGGAATTTAATCAACTGAGAAACAAAATCCCGGAGGTCCATAAACTTACTATGATCGTGCTTTCACCAAAATAACTCCCGTTGCCATTGTGAAGCGGTTCATCGGGTGGAGGTGGTGGTGGACGATCTGGAGGAGGAGTACCAGCTAATACCATCGTTTCTCGCGGATCCAAGTCGTACACACTGAATGATAAACGTGAGTCGATCGGTGGAAAGGGTTCATGTAAACATCTTCTAATTCAAAATTGTTAAACATTTAGCAGAATGGAGAAAACTGATTATAGCAGGTGTGAAGCGGACCACTTTTCTGGAAGCTAACAAAATGGCTCATTCAGTTTTGTTTCGCCCTCTTATGGTTAGTATTTTGGTTATCTTACGCGCTAGGTAACCAAGGGTTTAGCTCACGGATACAGCAAATTTTTTTCCTTACCAGAATCTTCGATTCAGGGCACATTGTTGTTGGGGATTCCCCAACAGGGGGTTGTACTTGGTTGCTGGGAGAGGGGAACATATTTGTGCTGAGAAAAATTTTTTTAATAGTCGATTTTTCTTGTTTCGGAGGGGGCGGGTTATATTTGCCCGCTGTTGGGAGGGGGAGGTAGTATTCCTTTCTAGCTTCTGAGAGAGGTTACTGATTTTTCATGGTTTTCTTGTTTCATGTGTTACCCCCTATGCCTCTGTCCTCTGCTCGACAGCAAAATTCTTGGGTAAAAGTAGGTAGGAGCATGTCGGCAAATTCCGATCCAAAAAAAAGCTTCAGAAAATGCATCCACTAAACGTACGTAAAACCCACATAAATATAATTTTGCACGGTTCAGGCTATTTCTCTGAAAACTCAAAAACTTATACTCGGAACGAATTCCGCCCCTGAATACAAACTGTACACTCTCCTCCGCAGACTGTCCTGACCATGCATGATGCGACTGGGTCCGCAGCTGCAGTAGCATGTCACCTCTTCCACTCAAAAGTGCACAAGAACGGGTCTGGAAGACCATGGTACCCGCGTGCCATCTCCGGCTCGCGTTATCCTCAAAGTGCAGCACTCGTGTCGATTCCGAGGTCCCGCAGCGAAATGGTAGAGAACAGGTAGAAGTGAGAGGGCGCAGGCAAGTAGCGCGTTTGGCTATAGTGAGGCATGTGGCTGGCCATGCGGCAGCGCGGGTGAAGTCGGGAGACAGTACTCATATCACTACCGTCCAGGCCGGTTTCAGAAACTTTTCACTGGAGAAAGTGACGCGCTACTACAGCTGTGGCCCCATTTACCGCCCCCGCGGCGGGAACAAGACCCATGGTGGTGAGCAATTTGTCTCTAAGCTGAGAGGATGGAGGAGGCCCCGATGTAATCGTAATCGTTTCTACAAAACTGCGATAAGCGCCAAGTAGAGGTTGGAGCGCCCGAGTTAAGCGTCTTCTCCACAACTAGTTGTAAGCATTCTTGTAATACGTTCAAACGTGATCTGCTGCCGTAAACAGTAGTTTTGTAATAAAGCAGTTAAGAATCTCGTTACTGTGTAAAATGAAATTTGGCTTGGAGATTATCCTAGACATCCACACATTGGTAGGATAAAGGATATTTTGAGCGAAAAGATTTCTATAAGCAAATAATTGGATGGAAATAATTAAATGGAAAACCTGTTGTGTGGTGTCGATGGAGGTTCGTTTGGTACTGGACTGTCCGTACAGTAGTAACTGCAACGGAAGTATATCAGTATTAGCATATGTCGCATTTCATTGTTTTATACGATTAACTACTGGATCCTCTCATGAAAATGAATCATGAATTGAGCGAATTATACCTTTTCTTTCTAGATCAACTCAAACATGTATCAAATGGAACGACGGACCTCTTCTACCTCCTCAGAAATAACTGACCTCATCTTTCAATTGGGTAACCTTTATAGGTAGTGCCCTCCTCCTCAAGTATGGGCCCACAATTGTTTTTGACCTTCCTTAAGGCTTCAGAAGCCTCTAAAAAGCCGTAGTACCTGCTCAACCCATCATTTGTGGCGACTTGCCAAAATTTCCATCGTTCAAGGCGAAAGAACGGCTTAAGCTCGAGGAATGGAGTGACATGTATCTACATTTGAGCCCAATCCCTTTATCCCATTTAGAATCTTCGGTTAGAAAGTCTCTATTTTTTTTTCTCATTCATTTTTTCTCGCGGCGGAGGTGGTGTGTGGCACGTGGGACGCTTACAGTGGCGCGGTCTCGGGTTCAAATCCCGGGTCGACTCCCGCCCAGGCCAACCAAGCCTTCTACCCTCCGGGGCGGTAAATTGGTACCAGATTCGTCTGGGAGGATAAAACACTGACTTGTACATCGGCTGGCCCGCAAGTCATTGTATAGGCCACATCGCATTCAAGTCACTACGATTTTGAGCGGAAGTAGAATGCCTGCCGCATCCCACAAAGGGAGTGATCAATGGCGAGAACTTTATGACTTACATCCGCAAATTTTCCTCCTTTACCAATGAGTGCAGACCCCCTGAGCAGACTGAATACGGCCTGCTCTATGTGAATATTCCAAAAATTTCTCCTTTCTTCCGCATACGACCCCTCACCTAGTGACCCATATACTTGCTGGGATATGCTCAACGCTAATGCGCGCTGATTCTGAGTGGGAATATATAAGCGACTAAAAATTAAAAAAACTAGTCAAAAGGTTGTAAAGCAGATATGTGAAATGAGCGTCGAAAGGAGAAAAGAGCAGAAAAAGGAGATAGAACGAGGACAGGAAGGGAGGTGAATATGGCTGAAGAGAACAAAAACTGATCATCAAAGGGGAATTTGCCGACAGGAACTGGGAAAGAAAGGAAATGAGCTCATAAGAAACATGTAAAGAACAACAATAAACGAGTTGTTGAAGTTGTTTGTAACTGAAGAAGAAGATATGAAAGTAGAGAGTGGTGCAAATATAAAATCTATATGAATTTTACTTTCCCCGACATGTATTGGTAATATTGCAGTGATATAATGGATTTGTGTACGTTTTTTTTTAGCCTTCAGGCCTTCTTTAGGCTTTTCTTTTGCTACCAGTTGTGGGAAATACGCTTCGACATTGATTAGTCCATCCCTGGGATACGCCATGCATTCCTACTTCTTCTCAAAATCGCAGAGGTATGCTGAATGCGATTCGGTCCACACAATGAGCCGCAGGGTTAGCCAACGCTAAACTCCCTCCCTAGTGAGTCTAATACCAAATGGCGGCATCAGAGATATGGAAGGATTGGTCGGCCTGAGAGAGTTGAGTCCAAATTTACCCTCAAGTCAAGAGCGCATCCGTCCTATGCAGAGCCATTTACCACTTCACCACCTTCGTCCTAATTAATGATGAACACAGAGTCTAACTTCGGTCGGAACGGCGACCACTTCTGCATATTTCTATTGTCCGAAAAAGGCCCTGCGCTGAGGGCAGGTGAAAAGACGAGGTCTTATAACAGTTGTGGGGAAGAAGGTCGTATTCGACTAAGTGAAAAATCGTTATCATTACTGAGTTTTTGGTATTTCGCAACCTACACCCCAGCTGACGAAAGAGGGATCACTTTTCTTACCGCCATGACGTGTCGCGAGTGCAGGCGTAAAACTTTACCCTGATTGTGGACCGGACATGATAATCTCAAATCATGTGAGTCTGGGTCATAAAACGATTTTGTTGGGACTCATTCGACTCAAGAGGGCATAGCAAAACAAGATGAAGCATGTGAACCCGGCGCCCTTTCCGAGCAGTCCTCTCTCAATGACCTTACTCTCGAAAATACATTTTCAAAGCTAAAAGTTAGTGGACTTCTTTAGATAAAAAACAGAAGTTGTTGTAGTAAAAAGAGTAACATGGGACTTACCTTCCATCAAGCGGTGTCGGCGGTGGTGCTCTAGGTTTCGGGCTTTCCAGGCAGTCCACTTGTGAAGGACGTGTAATGATGATGTTCGGAGTTGGATTGGATGAATTAGGAAGTGCGACGTGGTCACTCAAACGGCTTTTGGAACCTTCGTTCCCCATTCTGGCCCTGTTCATGTGAGAAAATGATTAAAAAATTTTTAAAAACCATGATCACGCGACAAAAATGTGGTTCATGCTATTGATTTCTCCCTCCAAGCCCTCCAAGCGGAGGACGAGTGCTATCAGGGGCTTCCTGGAAGTCTAAAGATGTTCACAAGGAGCTGCACGTAGCCAATCGGAAGAGAAAAAAGTTCACAATTTTGCGGAGCAACATGTCATACGTACGGTAGAGCGATATATTTAGCCCTGTAAAATAGGGAGTAGAACGCCACGAGGTTGCTCTGTCGATAGTATGTGATGGACGAGATTCATTGCCTATCGATCCTGAAATTCGGGACAGCGTTAAGTCGAGAGATTACGGTCGAATTTGTGACATCAATGCTGCTTACTATGCACGACAACCGGCTAACGTCGAAGTTTATTCGTTTCCATTCGAGCGCAGGACTTACTGAATCATACTACGTGGGTGGCAGATGGGTAGGCAGTTCACGGAGCGGTCAAATGTCCCAGGAAATCCGAAATCTTCGCTTTACTGGTCAGCTAGAGATGACTTTGGGCGTTGTTGTTCTGGGTGGAAAGCGACTGCAGCGCTTCAGTAATGCTGTACAATTACGAGGGATTATGTCGCTGCGGACCGCTGAATCTGGTTAGAATAGCCGTTCAGAGACTTCACAGAATCCAGCCTTGTTCCTTTTTAGCGCTGATTTGATGGAGGTCTTGCACGATATGAGGCTAATCTTCTGTTTTTGAAGGGAGCAGCACGAGGACCTTCCTTGGCTTTCAGCCAAAACAATCAGTAATCGTCCTTATGTTGTATAGTGTTCCCATGGCTACAGCGGAAAAACGAATTCTGTCCCTTTCTGAGACCTGAGTGTGGTCGCTTTGCTCACAGCTCATGTCATGCTCATTATTGTCATGACTCATTTTTAGCACAAATGAAGCCCCAAGAATAAAGCGCTTCGAGCTACAGAGTACACTAGGCGGTGCCAGTAGGAAGATCTCCTCTTTTGACACCCTCTCCTTCCAAGTCGCATCTCCATCCTCTCGAATTTTCCCGAATTCCTGTAGGTTTTCCAACTTCACACCAGTACTTTCCATACTGTTCCGGTTTCCCCGCAAAAAAAGTGCCGTGGAGAAAAAAGTGCTCACTAATTATAGGGGGGAGTACAGCGTACACGGCACCAGAAAAGCGAACAACCGGGAAAAATTCTACCGCGGCTCGTATAAACTACTATCAGGGCCGCATACGACCCTCTTCGACCAAATACCCCACCTCAGTGAAGCACGAGTTCCTCATGGGATTTTCCCGAGCATGCTGTACTGTGACTCGGGGTAGATACACTTCTTGTGGAATGCGCCCCACTTTCTAATTATTTTCAGAACCCTAACGAGTGGTCCTTTCAAAGGCGATTCCACCTATACAATAATCCATCATACTATTAGTCAGCGCTTTTTTGACCAGTCAAATATTTTTTGATATAGCTCCCCGAAAGAGGATCGGGAGCAAATCGTGTTCACTATTGCATTCGATACTGCACCATCTCCGCTCTACTATAGTATGACGTCCAACATGTGAAAGCCTGAGAAACCCGGGAACAAAGATGACACCCACACTCCCTCGCTGTGAAGTGGTCATTAGTGATATCGCCTTCGGCAGAGCAGTTACTTGTAGGTCAGTATGCGTGAAAACCAGTTCACTTTTGCTGCACTCATTTATCTGCACTATGTACACTTTCTGGCACTTTGCTTCCCCGATAATCCTTTGTGATACTTGAAGCTGTGCTTACAGTAAGAAGGAACGGCTTGGTTTGTCAGTTTGGATTTGCAACATTTCAGTTGATTTCTACGATCGCGAAGTGTTTCATGAAGGGAGGCCATGTATGTCCGTCGAGCGGGACGAGTGGACACCATGAGAGCAGCCTAAGCCTGGTGTCCCTTACAAAACACCTGAGCAATCGAAAATACAAACCTTACGACTCCTTTTCCAGAGGACAAACACAGCTGTCCATGTGATTTGGTCCTACTCCTGGGCTATAGGACCAGGAGTGTCGGCCGCCACACACGCAGCTACAGTCCTCATCATTGCGGACCGGTGGGGCGTGTCAGCCAGTATGAGTGTGCACACTGTTGAAGCCGTTCTCAGCCTTTTTGTGAAACGCGTATGCGACAAAAAGTGGTAGAAAACGAGTAATACGAAGGATATAATACAGTAATGTCACTTGCCCGCTTCAACAACTGGTGCAGAACGACTTTGGCACCGCGCCAAACGCAGCCGCACTGACACGCCCCACCGGTCCGCAATGATGAGGACTGTACAATAGCAGTCCCGTAACGATTAATTGACTGGTTCGTTAGCCACCTCGAATGGACTGCTACCGGAGGTAGGGATTGGGTCCTTTCTCTTCGGTCTTCGAGTTTTAACTTTTGGAACTTGGTTTTCCATTGAGAGGTCGCCCAGTTGGCCCACTTAGCCCCTTGGGGTTTTCGCCGTTCGCTGAGGTCATTGGAACAATCAAGTTCTTTTCTCCATTGACAGGACATTCCCTGCTTTAGGAACTTGAAGACAAGCTGTACACTCACCTCTGATTGTAAGGACGGTAGTTTTCACGAACGAGATGAATGGTTCCGCAGCTACAATAGCGGTCCCGTAGCGATAAACATATTCAGCGCTATGGAACAACCAGAAACAAGAAGGCGCCAGACAAGTAGGGCTTGTGGCTATGGTTATGCGTGTGGCTGACCGCGCCGTAGCGCGAGGCGGATTATGGAGTCGCATCCAGGTATCATTACCCTTCTGCCTCGTTCCCGTTCAGTTTCGAGTGGAGCAGGCGCATTACTGCTGCTGCAGACCAATTCACCTCACACATGGCGAAGGATCAGAATCCACGGATGTGAATGTACGGTATTGTCTTTAAATATTGTTCTCAGTCACTCTTGCATAAAATCGGCAAAGTTTTCATTACATTAACGTCATTATTGGTGTTTGAGGGGCTAGCCAGCCCTAAGCGTTTCCAGTAAATTTTATTTCTTCATGTTTTAAACAACATGGTGAGGAAATGTTTATGAAATAGTGCATGCATGAGTATATTTTGCTGGTTTTCTGTCCACTTTCTCGTAGACAAATCCATCTCTCAACTCCTGGTAGCCGTCTATGCTGTTCACGTTCTCGTCTGAAAATAGAGGGGAAATAGAATTTTACATCATCAACAGTAATTCGTCCTACTGGTAAGATGAATTCTGACTGAAAAAAAGTGGAGGAGTGTGGAACGTTACATCTACGTTGCTGCGGTGCACGTAAACCAGCTTGTTGGATCGGAGTACGACACAACATGCAGCAGCTCTTCCTCGTCGCAGTTTGGTCCTAGCGGAAATGGTGGATACGTGACGCAGCGTGCAACGTCGCCCTTGCGACATAGTCGCAACATGAATGTAACTTCCCACACCTCTAGGAAAGCGTAGTTTTACGAGTACGCCTACTATAAGGACTGATTTCTACTCAAAGGCACATCTCGCGGTTGTAAGCCGTAGGTGGCGAGGTTGGAAAACAGAACAAAAGTGAATGCGCTATTCTCTTGGCCTTGAAAAGAGCGCAGATCATCATAATTGAAAGGCGAAGATGCGATTTGGATCTCCTGGGAGAAACAAAAGAAAGGCAGGGAGAGCACATAAACAGTACGGCAAACCCACGCGGGGCGGTGTAAATTGCGCTCCGGTGGAGTCACTTGAGCAACATTAAGCCCTGACATCCTACCCGACGGATTCTGATTCCTAAAGTTGACAAGGGTATCTATTGCGGCTTACACTACTTTCTCAAGTAGAATCATGATTCATGTAAGTGGTCGCGATATATACCTTTAAATGCTCAACTTCAGAAGTTTACCCAGGGTAAAAGGAGCGCGAAACCTACACTGTCAAGCCAGTCATATCCAAGGATCACCCAGTTAAATACAGTATTACGCCAGATCAGTTGGTCCCCACCAGTATGCAGCTGATACTGCCGCAATCACTCGGGTGGTTTCAAGAGGAATGGAACCAGATCACCCGCGGCATTTCCACCACTGGTTGTTATCTTCCCGAATCA